TTTTTTCACAACTGGGAATCAACAATGCAAGGTAAGGCCTTTAATTCTCTTTCAAACTAGTCTTTAAATATGAGACTGCACTTTGTATTTTGATCAGTCGATCACAATCTAAAATGTAAAATTGCTTTAATTCTCTTTCAGACTAGTCTTTAAATATGAGACTGCACTTTGTATTAGGATCAGTTGATCACAATCTAAAATGTAAAATTACTTGGGAATCCAGTGATTTGTTGCGGGGTTGCTTCCCAAAGGTGGTCTGATGATTCTATTTTCCATTCTCTACGCCTACATTCTTATAAACCCATTTCCAGTTTGTTATCAATCGACGATAATCATGTACCAAAAAAAAAAAAAAAATCCATCAACGATGAACGCCACGAAACTCCATCAATCCTAAACGAATCATCAATATTTCAGAAAATGGAAGATTATGGGTAAAATTATATATTGTTTGTCTATGGAATCCAGCTTCCTTTAGCATTCTGGTTCCGCAAATTCATGTGGGATGTGGCACATCCAATTCTCCCTCAACTGAAATTTTCACCTAAGAAAATACCACAAATTAAAGATGATAGAAAGAAAAAAAGAAACCCATAATTTCAAATTGTAAAAACCATTTTAAGGGAACCGAGTTACAGAATGCGTACAGGAAACTATAATTGGGGAGATCGTAGCTTGTCGAGCATACAACCAGCTGTGCTGGATTGGATTTGGGTCCGCAAATCTATTGTATTTCAAATTTTAAAAACCAGCGATTGTTCGCGTCTTCACACACAACCAGCGGTGCTGGATTGGATTTGGGTCTGGAAATCTACGTTGCTCTTTGGTGTCGTTTTGTTGCTGCCTTGCTTGAGTTATAGCCCAGTTCTTTTTCAGGCCCAGAATACTTGGACGACATCAGACGATCCGAAGTAATATATAATGGTTTTAAGCCCGTTAGCTGAAACGTACCATGACACCGGCAACTGGGCTGGCTACTTTTTAATTTCCAATTTGCAACTACTTTGAAGGGCTAGTTGGTTGGAAGTCAATTTTATTAAGACTTTACATAAAGTTATTAAATTTTGCATTAAAATCTTATTGAAAAACTTGGTGAGCTAATTTCATTCTAACAAACAAGTGTATTAGTTCGTTCAAGTAATATAATAATAAAAATAGAGTATTATTTTATAGAAATTGTAGATTAATTAAGTATTAAAATTAATTAATTTTAATTTTGTTTAAACAATTAAAATTAAATGATTTAAATGAATTAAATAACTAAACTAATTAAAGAAAAACTAAATTAACTTTAAGTAACACCAAGAGTAAATTTTTTAAGGCATCCAATTTAACCATAATCAACTAATATTAAATTTAGATTAATATACTTTCAAAGTATTTATTATTTATGTGACAGCGGAATTAAGTCACTTATTAACTCACTATATCTTTATGTGAATTTAAATAGATAAAAATGCATTATATTATGTGAAATTCTCTAATTTACATGGAAAATTAAGTTCACTTATCACTAATGTTGCACAAAATCATGTTGATCCATCTTTGACTTTCATTCAATTTATGGTATATATTACTAAAAGTTATTGCATAAAATCTCTTTTCGATCTCTTCAATCAATTTTAGTGGTGGTCAATCATTAAGAACCATTAAGAACAATAATATATACTCTACGTAAAATAATAAATATTGAAAGTACAAAAATTATAAAATTATATTAAATTGATTAGATTAGCTCATAACTTTAGATAGTTAAACCAGTTCATAATTAAAAAAAATTAATAATCTCATAATGAATATATGAGTGTTCAACATCATGAAATAAAAGTTAAAAACAAGCAAAACTATTTTTATGATATAAAATTTTAAGCTTTTATCTTCTTTTATTGTTGAATTCCTCTTAATCGTCTCTCTTAGTCTCTTTTGAAAAGTTCTAAAACTGATTTTTGAATGGATATTTATAGAGTTTAAGAAACCCTATTAGTAGAGAAGTAAGACTTGGAACAAAATAAGAAATTGGGATTTTGATTGCTGAACGCATGGTGCCAACTTCCTGAACTAGTTGTCGACACAAAACAAGAAACAAAATCTATAATTCTGGTCGCTTGACGCATAGTGTCGATACCCCGATTATGTGTTGACACCAGACACGTGTCGGGTTTCTGGCCTCATTTTGCAATTTCTTTAATGGTAAAATTATAGATCTGATCCTCTAAGTTTTGTACGATGAGCACTGAGATCTCTAAACTTAAGATTCATTCATTTAGGTCCCAAAGAAGCCTCTTTCTTCTTGCACTTCAGTCCCTCAACTTTCAAAAGATGTTTAATTAATTCTTGAAACTCATATTATTATGCATCTAAGTCTTTTTCTGCGTAAAAAATGAAATTCATGTAAAATCTTATAAAATTCATCCAAATATTAATAATATCAAAACAAAAAATTCAACATTAATATATATGAATTCAGCTCATCGAGGGTATTAAATTTTTAATGTGCTGCACGAAATTGACATAAAAGGTTAAAAGAAAGTTGTCAAATGGGTATGGGGTTTATATTGAAAATGTTATAATTATAATATTATA